CTTCCGATCTCAGCCCTGCCCTGGGGTTCCGGGGTCCCGGGGTCCCGGGGGCCACCTCTCCTGAAAGGCGGGCGGGCGGGAGTCAGCTCCGGCCCTGGCGTGGCCCCACTGGTCGCGGTCGCCTTGTCACCCTGTGCCCCGCCTGCCTTCCGCCTGGCCAGAGGGCTGGGGGCCGCGGTCACGGGCAAGTGTGCTCCCCGTTCCGGGCGCGGCGCTTTCGGGGTCACCCGGTGAGGGAGCACCGGCCGGGCCGCTTCGCCTTCCGCCCTCCGGAAGGTCCTCGGGGCGGGGCGGCCCTCGGCCCTCGGCCCCTGCGCCGCCTGTGCCCTGAGGTCCGCCCTGCGTGCGCGTCCTGCTTCCCTCCGTGGCTGAGCTGTGCCCCTTTTCCCTGATGAGCGAAGCAGGTGGCCCAGTGTGGGAGCGTGCGGGGGCCAAAGCTGGGGCCCTGATGCAGAGGACCTGCCCTTGCCAGCATGTGTCGTGCCTCTTGCCTTAGATTCCAGCTCCTGCAGGTGACAATGCTTCCCTTGGCCTTGGTTCTCTCCGTGGTGCTCGCGCCCATGGATAGCAACGTCACCAATGTCACCACTGCTGGCCAAAGTCACTGTAAGTGCCATTCTACTGCCTGGAGGTGATGGGAGGTCACCTGGGGAGACCCCGTCACAGGACAGGTGGCCCTTGCACTCTCTTACCCACTGCAGGTCTTCGTCGTCAGTGTGTTGGGGGTAGTGGCACGAATTAAATTGGGGGCTTGTTCATGAACAAAGCCAGGGTTACTGGGGTGGGGGCTTCTCAGAAGAGCAGCTTCCGCAGTGAGGAGGCTTAGGGCTCCACATTCTCATCAGGGATTGGCAGGAGTGCCTAGTCTGGGATGGTCCTGGAGGACACCATCCCCTAGAGCAAAGCACTCCACACACTGCTGCCGGGCTATGAGTTGGAGCCTATCCCAGCACAGGGCGAGCCCCTGGGGTACTTGGCCATGTGGAGGGCTGAGCCTTGTAGTCACAGAGGAGTCCTTGGAGGCAGGCGAGCCACAGCTGGAGGAGGGTTAGCAGGGAGTGGGGGACAGCAGGTGGAGGCGCCATGTTGGCGCAGAAGCCAGCATCCAGCAGAC